GGCGCTATCTTCTCGTCCCGTAAGGAAATGTTCCTCAAATCGCAAACTATCTTCGCTGGCCGTGGTATCACCGCAACCCCTTACAACGACCGATGGTAGCTACTTCTCTTCGCTCGGGCGCGCTGTCAGAGTTGCTAACGACACCCCATGATATAGGAGGAAACATCGCAGGATAGCCGCTTCATGGCTTAATCCCCGTGCGGTCGAGGAATACACCAATGTCCTTGACTACGAGGCTACCATTCTTGTCCAGGAACTGTACAAGTATGGCGAGGCAGGCATGGCACCCATCAATCCCCAACCTCATGCCGGACGCTGTTCGCTCAACAATATGCTCACGATCGTTTTTGGCATTCGTACGGACGCCATTGAGCACCCACTTGTTGGACGTGCTCTCAGGCTGTCGCGAGAGTTCATGTCCGTACAGTCCCGGTCCCATCTAATCATTGGGTAACACTCTTTGACACATCATCATGTTTACCCCTTCCAGGAACACCACCGGACCGGTATCCAACTTAGTGGACTTCATCCCAATTCTCCAACGTCTTCCGAACTCCCTGATAACCCGAGGGAAGAAACTCCACACAGATCTGGTGGACACATATGGAGGGTTACTGAACGACATTGAAGAGAAGCTCAAGCGTGGCGAAACGGTGCCTGACTGTCTAGCTAAGACTATGATTCTTACGAAAGAGGAAGAGGGGCTGGACCATGTCGACATGGCCATTCTCGCCTCGGCGTTTATGATTGGTGGTGTGGAAACTGTTCGTCAATTCCCGCTCATCTCGAGGTGCTTCTATTGACACCCTTGCTTCCAGACTGCTTCAATTATGCAGTGGTTCTCAGCCCTCATCCCAGCTTATCCTGAAATACAGGCTAAAGCTCACGCCGAACTTGATCGTGTAGTCGGCCGCGATCGTTTGCCCACAGTCGAGGATGAGAAGAATCTCCCTTACATCCATGCCATCATCAAGGTAAGTCTACACTGCGCTTCTTCTGGGGCCTTGAAACATCTGATTTGATCAAACGATCTTCAGGAAGTCGAGCGTTGTCATAACCCCTTCTGGCTGGGCACACCCCATGTGAACACCCACGACGTCACCTATCGCGGACAGTTCATCCCAAAGGACACGGTCGTGGTATTGAATACTGTAAGCGCAAAAGTAGTGATCTTCGACGGGCCACAGACATCTGACTCGTTCATGATTAGTACTCGATGCACCATGACCCCCAACGCCATCCGGATCCCCATACTTTTAAGGTAGGACTCCTTATATTTATGGACCCGTCCCCAAATCTTAAATGAGAACGCCTTTACACAGCCCGAGCGATACATCAACGACCCTACCACGTCATCCGAATCAGCCAACCTCGCCGACCCAAATGAACGTGATCACTGGATGTTCGGCGTCGGGTACGAATTGGTCTTTGCCCCGCACCCATGACCTTGTACTCAATCATGCTCCGCTTATAGGCGCCGTATCTGCCCTGGAATGTGGGTCGCAGAGCGCGAGGTGTGGCTGGCCATTTCTCGTATGCTCTGGGCTTTCACGATGGAGGAAATCCCGGGAGACCCCATCGATCTCAAGGAGTATGATGGCCTTTCGGGGCGCTCGCCGGTCCCGTTCCGTGTCAAGATGACCCCGCGTCACAGTAAAGTGGCGGAGGTCCTTGGACTGTGAACACCTGTATAATGGACATCTCAAGTCCTCGTTGTATCTGGATATAATTCCAGTGTACTTAATGATTCTGGGTCATATTGTTGTACAGTAGCACCTTGTAATTCTTGTATAGTGCACCCAAGCTCCTTACGAACCTTTATAACGATTCACGACTTTGCTTTTACCTGCTATAATTTCTACTGAGTAAGCGGGGTGTACAAGCAATTGCATGACCGAATTTGGATTCGGTCCGCTACCGATGTTTGGCGTCGGGGATTTCGTTAAACATGGGCCCGGTATTGCTTGTGACTCGTACTCTGTTCCTGACAAGTGACTGCGATATGCGCTCGGTGTTCCAAACGATGATGACCGTACATAGCCTTCCAAGGGGCTCAACCACCATAAGTTTCTCCTCGGTCTACTCGCTGGGTATATGGTTCTTACGATGCATTCTCTCCGACCTCCCGGACCTTGCTGGTTGCTTACTCGAGTCTAGTACGTATCATCGCGTTTCGTTCTCGCGTCATCGCCGTGGCTCTATCAACACTAGCTCACCTCCTCAATCAACTGAACATGGATTCCAACACAATCTGTCAACAGCGGACCGGGCTTCTAGGCCAGCACGGAGGGTTTATGGAATAATTTAAGCACCGAGGATAATATTGTGCCTGGAAATATCCTAACCCCCTGGCTACCCTCGACGGGCGAATTTACCGGATTTAATGTCCAGTTTCGATCTATCCCTGGGGTGGTTAGCAGCTGTGCATTCCATGGGCGCGGAATCAGACACGTGGCCCCACGCTATCATTCCGCCATCCCCGTCGGCTGCGTATCCTGTTAACACTCCGTGATCGATAATTGACTCATCCAGAGGCTCATCCGTCAGAGGATGTAGATACTCTAACACCATATATAAAGGCTGTGAGTAGGATTCAAGTGTTCCCACTTCATGTTGACCATGGACGCTACTTACCTGTACATTCTGTGTGGAATAATTGTCTCTCTAGCTGCATATCTATGTGCTCGGCCTTTAGCCCGCTTGCCGCTGCCGCCGGGACCGCGAGGGTACTTCTTCACAGGCGTCAAACATTTGCTTCGGAGCTCAACACCGTGGAAGCTGTACAATGCCTGGGCTCAGGAATATGACAGTGAGCGCCTTCCTTCATTCAGTAACTCTCATCTCAGCTGACGACGCAGGCTCCATTATCTCTTTCCGTGTATACAATCGCCAAATCATTGTCCTGAATGATGCCACTGGTGTATATGACCTCCTCGAGAAACGCGCAAACATATATTCTGATCGTCCTAAATCTTGGATGTACAACGAAGTCTGCGATCGCAAGAAGGCCATTTTCAACATTTCTTCTCTGGATGCAAGGCATAAGCAGTACCGTAAACTCCTGAAAACGGGTCTTAGCGCCCGCGCCACGCAAGGATTCTGGCCTCTAATAGAATCCGAAGTCGCTACCCTCCTCGACGGGTTCTCGTGTAGCCCTGAGAAGTACGAAAAGCACATTAGGAGGTGTGTAGATTATTCAGTTAACTCCTCACCTCGTGCACACTTTCTCAACAAAGGCCTAGGAACGCGGCAGCAGTAATCATGAAGATGGCATATGGGTATACGGTGACCGAGGACGATCCTTTCATCGAGGTCGCCGAAGAGGCTTCGAGAATATCAGGAATCGCAACGGCACCTGGCAGATGGCTCGTGGACTATCTACCCATCAGTAAGTACACACCTCTAATCAGAATCGCTTCGCCTTACGACGACACTACAGTTCGCTTCATCCCTTCCTTCATCCCTGGCGCGGGATGGAAGCGCCAAGGTGAGGCGTGGCGACAACGTCTGAATACGTTGTCCGGGGTTCCACATGCATGGGTCAAAGAACAGATGGTACGGCATTCTTTTATACCGCGCGCTGTCATGCCTTGACGTGAAGCGTCCTGATAGGCAACAGGTGGCTTCACCGAGTCATTTACCTCGCGACATCTGCGACCGAATGGCGCTGATATGGTAGACGCGGAGCAAGAAGACATCGTCAAGTGGTGCGCTGGCGGTCTGTACGCCGGGGCCGGGGATACGGTACGTTTTTGAAGAGATTTCCGAAGATCTCATCAACTGAGGTCTTGACATCGATCAGACGGTGTCGGCTCTTCTTTCGTTTGTTATGCTCATGGCGCTGCATCCTGCAGTCCACGCCAAGCTTCAAGAAGAACTGGACAGAGTTGTTGGGCGCGACCATGTCCCACATCCTTCCGAGCTCGGCAAACTCCATTACCTGACAGCAGTCATGAAAGAAGTCCTGCGGTACGCACCCGTTGCCAACCTCGGTAAGTGGCTGGGATTTATTGGCAGCATTCGCGTGCTAACGTCGACGCAGCCCTTCCTCACAAAGTCACGGAAGAAGATGAGTATAAAGGGTATCGTATTCCCAAAGACGCTACCATCATGGCCAACGTCTGGTATGTACATCACTCAAAAGTCTTTTGTTGTTCCTGACCGAACTACAGGGCAATTTTGCACGACGAAGGCTTGTACTCGAATCCCTTCCGTTTCGACCCAGAGCGGTTCACTTCGCTTGATTCGAAGAGTTCCTTGATTACATCCACACATTCTCAACCTGACCCTAGACCATATGCCTTTGGGTTCGGGCGGCGCACATGCCCAGGTAAGCGCAACAGTTTGAATACCGTGGAAATTCGATCTGATCCCAACGCAGGCAGAAACTTCGCAGAGACAACTATGTTGTTGGCCATGGCTGGCATCCTTGCGCAATTCGACATATCTCTTCCTGCAGGGCAAACTCTGCCTAAAATTGAGTTCACACCCGGTATCACTAGGTAAATATCTGCTGTATCCTTATCTGCCGATTGTACTAACTTTTCAAACGTAGCCATATCAAACCCTTCGAAGTTAATATTACACCCCGTCCGTCGCATGCATAATCTCTAGGCTTATCTTAAATCTGCACCTAATCTTCGCCTAATTCCGCCGCAATAATCCGCTGTATCACTATACTTACAATTTGCTGTATTTTTTGTCTCGCCCGGCCTTGTTGTTGGTAGCTGAAGTACATCGTTACGCAGGGACCTTGATACATTTTTCCTACCACGGACCTGTCGACTTCTATAACCTATGACTTATTCATATAATCATGGTGCTATTTGGTTGCCCGCCGCACAACACTGCGTGGATGAAGGCGAAGTAAAATGTTCTCCGAAAATAATCCTGCTCATGTTTAGAGTTCGTACTCTCCTTTTTCCGTCAGCTTTTGAGTCCTTGAGTTCCATCTACAGGTGTAGTTGCCACCAGCATGCGGGACTTCCACAAAAAAGTAGTGATGAGAGTGGGATTCGAACCCACGCCCCGGAGGACCAGATATCGGAGGGATGTGAGTCCCACTCTGATAAGCAGCAGCTGCTTTGATCCTTAGTCTGGCGCCTTAGACCGCTCGGCCATCTCACCTTGTTTCTGTAGATCAAAGTATAGCACAAGTATCGCATGATCATGGCGCTCTGGGCGCAAGATAGAAAACTGAGCATATGTCTTGCTGGATGAAACGTACAAGCAGCAGCATCGCTGAACGCGGTTCGGGGAACGGGCACCATCAGATAGATTTGTGACGGGAGACAAAACGGGCCAGCACGTGGATGGCGTGTCGGGATAACAACGCCAAATATCAACCTCCTCCTCGAAGACCACCATGGTACGTCTTTGTATTCAATGCGTTCCCCTTTATCTAACTTTCTGTTATTATAATGCAGTCCATCAGTGCAAAAGCAGCACTGTCTCCCTCAACGTCGTCCATGACAACAGCGCCAGCGCGTACCTCTTTCATTTCGCAGCCAAATGGCCCAACTCCATCGAGTACGCCCAGCTCATCCTCTTCCGCGATGTCGCCCGAACTAGAATCGACACTCGCCATGCTCTCGTCACACCGGTCTGTTTTGGGGTACATGTTGGTATCGCGCGGGCACCCAGTGAGCATCATCCGGCACTCAGGCGTGATCTTCGAAGGAGAGCAGGGACGGAAATACGCAGCCGTGATTGGGCGTATTGTAGAAAGCGTGCAGGGCGGACTAGAGGAGGTGCATGCGGGTGAGACGGATGGGGTGCGTAATCGCCGTTTCCTACTCTCTGGTGCTTTCTGACCTGCGTTTCAATAGGATGAAGTGCGGTTTATGAGGATCCGGACGAAACGGCACGAGATAATGATCTCTCCCGGTGTGTACGCTGTCTCTATTTTCGTTCCAGCCACTTATACAAATGTGGGTGTAGATGATCGGTATGTATTGGCTGTTCTGCACGATCCGGCAACATGATATCTGGGCGTTCTTGGTTCTTATTTCTTCTGCGTACTTCTGTATATCTACGGGACTCTTGGATATCCTATCTCTCCTTTCACCCCAGATCCCGATCGCCACCCGCCAATTCATTATAATCAAGTCTGTAATGCAATAATACCCACTACTCCGAAAAGCTCAGTTGCGCAAACTTTCTACGCCTACGTTCATGGAGGCGCTCAACTTCACGTGAATGGTGAGTTAGAGACAGAGATCTTTGCCAAATGTCCCAGTGACTCGCTTGGGTACAGCAAGAGGTTGTGAAGCTCTTTCAACTCGCAGTCCTCTGTGTCGCCGTCTTCACTTCGCCATCGCCCGTGCGTAAGCCCGTACATCGCGTTTACATCTTTCGCCGCTCCTTCGAGCCCACGATTTGTTCGTGCATCATCTGAAATCCATATCCTCGTTTTTTGCAAAGAGAGCTCAGTTTCTTAGGCGCATGGAGCCCGTGTCGGTCCCTCGTGAATCTAGGAATCGACTGTTGCGATGCGAAGGAAAAAGATCTTGAGATTCAAAGTCAAGCTTGACTCATTCGAAGCCTTCCATTCTTGTACACTGATCATTCGCGGTGCTCATTATCAAGGGGTCGTGACAGCCTTCAACTTTGAAGTTTCAAGCGTGCGAGCCAAATCGCGTCCTTCATGAGGGAGGTTCAACAACGCCACCATCAACCCGTGAAGGGCTGCTCGTGGACCAAGGCGAAGATGAAGTTGGCGACAGGGCTTGAGCCCAGTCCTGTTGTTCGCTACTTGGGCATGACCATTCAAGTGAACACTGGAAGCGGAATCCAGGGCTTTCGAAGTGAGAGCCCGCCTATCTGTCATTCGAGTGTCTAATTCATAACACCGCTTCTACCACGAGGCCAGAATTTCTTCTTGAAGGTGTTGAAAGCCGCCTCTTTCAAGAGTCGTGACATGTTACGAGATCCAATATAGCCACCCTCAACTCGCAGGTACACCTCACGCCCGTCATCTTACGGTCTAATTTGATTCGTTCTCAGGTATCAGCGCCGCCGTACCCAGTGTCATACTCTAAAGGGTAAAACACAGCTACGTGTGTAAGGATAACGCAATGACATTGATACACATCCTTCTGGAATCTTCATCAGGCTCTCTCCCATCCTCTGCCTTCGACAAGCCGTCAAGTCCGCCAAAACGCGTTGGTGTCATCCAAAGGATAATCAGTTATTCCCTTACGGCCTCCTTTAGCTGTCAGGGTAATGGGTACATATGTACTATTTACTCCATCCGCCTCTTCTCCGAGTCCATCTTGGGCCGCAAGCAGGGCCGTCTCACGTCTGTTGACCTTGGGTGAACTGACATCCGTGAATAGGCATAGGAGGTGGTAGCTCACCTAACAGCCCATCTGGTTCATCTGTTTCTGACGCTCGTCCACAGATTCTGGAAGGAAGTCATGGATACTGCGGCCTCGGACGCTGCCAATTTCCCTCTGTCATTCTGCAACTTGTTTGCAGAAGAGCTATTGACGGAGCGCTCCAGAGTCTCTAACCGCGCTCAATAGTAGGAGCGACGCCGTCCTCCTCCTTCCGTAGAGCCTACAGGGCTTCTTTAGCTTGGCGGTGTGCGTCTTCATGAAGGTGGTCGTTTGCCAGGTGTTGTTGGTGAGGGTGGGGAGGCCGACGATAATGACTAGGAGGCCCCCGCTACTTGTGGAGAGGCGTGACGAGTACTTTCCGGTTACGAGAGTAGTGAGAAGCACAGCGGCGCTACTAGCGATGGTACATGTCCGATGATGGGAGAGTGCAGGGGGTTTGAGTGTCTAGATTTGGTGGTCCTAAGAAAATTTTGTTCGCGCTCATCATCTTCAATTGTAGTTAAGCTGTCTTTGATATCTAGTGTTGAGGTCTCCTTTGAGATTTTCCTTCTGAAAAGTTATATGCTAGACAGCCACGGATCCAGAAAAGGAACACCTGTTATTTGGTCAGGCTTGTCGCTACATGTGTCGGAACTCGGCACTCGGCAAGGCTCATACGTCGTCTGGTACCGCTCATTGAAAACCCCGAACTTTCTCTACCTTGTAACAAACTCACCTCCATACGACGGAAAAATGGCCCACAGTCTCTCTCCGGAATGCACACCGCTCAAACTTGAATACGACTCCTGTTTCAACGCGTGGTTCGAAGGGTACCTCGAGCCCGCCGTTGCTGCGTCGGCGTCACCCACCCAACGCGAAGCCTACTCGCAACAAAAGGCGACCGAGTTTCAAGAAAAATGTGGAAGAGTTTGGGAGAGCTACCGCGAGTGTGTCCAGGTATGTTGTTTCAGGTGTCACTGCTTTTTTTTCCTCCGGGCGTAGACCTGATGGTAGTATCCGTATTCTGTAGAAAGCGGTGAAGGACAAGGGGCTTGACACATTACTGCAGCAAGCACGCGACGAAAACCCACTCACGGAGCCTCCGCCACCGCCGTCGTCGCCGTCGGAAGGCACATCATCGTCATGATGTCAAAGCGGGACATTGGCATCCCAAGATACCACGACCACCTGGCTCATCGTGGCTTTGTAGCTTTAGTAGGTACTCATCTATCTTTCCTCTCAGATAACCTCGGCTGACGTTGTCTCTGAATAGAATTCGACACTGTGTATATGTATCGTTAATCTATCGCCGGAATAATATACGCTTCCCCGCTCTGCTGTCGTATCCCTATCAAAACGCGCGTTTTTCCCTTGGGCTTCACGCCGATGATCCCGGTTACAGTTAGGTTGATGTTATGTGCCGTAGTGCCTACGTCAGTCTCAGTGACCGCGTAGACTATTCGCAGCGGAGGGGGTCGAGTTCCAAGAGAAGTGTGGGACTTTTGGGGATCTGTCGCGAGTTCGCTGCAGGTACGTCGTTTCAACATTTCTCATTTCCTTTTACCCTATCCTTGCGAAAACAACAAACCTGATCGTGAATCTGTTCTCGTTCCTCAGAAAGCGGCGATGGCTGGCATGGTCACCCTGCCTTGCAAGACGAGTACGAGCCTCTATCTCCGTAGCTGCCACCAAAGGACCTCATCGCTAAAACTAGTTATATTGGCTTTGGTGTAGGATGGCGACTTGTCATTTTACCTTCTCAATTCTGGATGCATCATTTATCTTTCGTTCTGATGAAGACGTCCTGCCCTAGGAATCCCATAAAATCTGGATCTGGATTTGAAACCCAACGTCGGATGAGTGTATATTACCCGCCCTACGAATGCTGCATATCTATCAGACGGGATCTAGCATCTCGGGCTTCATGTTGTTGATCCCGGTAACTATTCCAACTGGTAAAGTATCCCACAATGCATCTGCCTCTCGGTGAGCACCGCTCATGGATGAGTGTCTAGGAAATTTGACCAAGCCTCTGCCTCCGCCACCGCCACCATTCAGATACTCCTTCTCGCCTACATGTGTCTTCCAAGGGATCACTGTCCTCAAAATCGTGGGTGTTTGTTATCGCGATGTCGAGATGGGTCATTGACATCCAAAGATAGCACCACGGACGGCCTGACCCATCCTAGCCTTATAGTATCTGCATCATATGTCTGCCTTTCCGCACGAATCTGGCTAGACTGCCTTTGAACACTGCTTACCATATATCTGAACAGACCCGTGCCGGGTGTATTTGTGTCTCGATTTTAGCTGAATAATTCAACTCGCCGCTGTGTTGTGTATCACTATCAAACCGCGCCTCGTTTGTCGGGCTTCACGTCGATCATCCCGGTCACCGTTCCGCTTAACAGAATGTAAGACAGTACTTTCCTCTGCATATCCCTCCTCTCAGCTCAGCTACGATCGAGACACCGAGTTCGTCGTCATGCGGCGATGATGACGCCACCCACAACCTACAGGTTTAATGCTCGATGACATGGATGACTCGTGGAGACCGACATCCACCTCCATGATATAGGGGACTAGTACGCAACAGCTGACCTGTGATATCCATTGTCAACGGAGAATTACCCAACCAGCAGACCATTGTCACCCAAAAGAAGTCGGTATAGCCATCATCACACCTACGGAAGGGGTCCCAAAAAGGTCGCCCGTCAATCTGTACGTGCACGATGAATGCAATCATATCAAAACCTGCAGCACATTGGCTATGCTGCTATCGTCCTGTTAGTCGTATGATTCTCATAT